CTACTATTACTACTACTAGTACTAGTACTATTACTATGACTAGTACTACTACTATACTACTACTACTACTACTACTACCACTACTACTACTACTACTACTACTACTACTACTACTACCACTATTACCACCACTATTACTACTACTACTACTACTACTACTACTACTACCACTACTACTACGACGACGACTACTACTACTACTAGTACAACTACAACGACGACGACGACTACTACTACTACTACGTACTGCTACTACTACTACTACTACTACTACTACTACTACCACTACCACTACTACTACCACTGCTACTGCAACTAATCCTGCATACTGCTACTTCTACCTCCACTACGGCTGCCGCTGCCACTACCACCACAAGTGCTACTCTGCTTTCCCCTGCTACTCCTATTCCTGCTCCTCCTCCTCATCCCCCTCCTCCCACTCCTACTCCTGCGCGTAATTCCATCTGCGCACACACAGGGCCAGATAGGGCTACCTCTACCACAGTACTAGTATTAATGTACTGGTGGTAGTAGTAGTCGTCGGAGCCGTAGTCGTAGAAGTAGCGCGACTGCTACTTGCACAGCTGCTGCTACCTCGAGGAGGTTTCCTGCCTCGGCTACTACGGTGACGACAGCTGCTAGTGTTTACACATAACTTTTAACAAGATTCCAACCGCCACGGGTGCGGATAGCAAACGATGTAGTGCTGAACGCTTGCACTTACGGACGCGAGCGGGATATTACAGTTGATTTCCCTAAATGCCTCAACCTTGTACATGTAGAACCCGAAACGCTGTAGTGTTTGGTTGTCCTTCGACAGGTCCAGTGACCGAGGACGACCTGGTGGTCGTGAGAACGACAATGGGCTGCCTCCGGGTCCCTGGCCGTCGCGAGATCGCCCAAGGACTGCGGGGAAACGGCTGGAGCGGGGTTGGTGGGGTTGGCTGCATGTGCTCTCTGAATTTATCCAGATTTTGTACCCTCGGTGGGTAGAGACTTGTGTTTCTTGGTATCAAGGTAGTGTATAACAGAAGCAATACGTTTGCATGTACACATATGTATATATATATATATACATACATACATGTGTATTTCCATACGCACATAAACACAGAATTAGAGGGTGTGCACGTGAAAGGGAGCGATAATGTTAGACTGCTTAAACTTATACATGCTATATGTACATATATGACTATATAGAGAGATGTGTTTATACAGACGTACATAGTAAACTCTCTTCTATATAGCCATGTATGTAAATATGTATAGGCTATAACTCTGTACTTACATACATACCTACATGTATACATACATACATACATACATACATACATACATACATACATACATACATGCACACATACATACATGCATGCATACCTAGGTACATATATATATATATATGTATATATATATATATATGCATATTCATTCATGCATGTATGCATACATGTATGTATGTATGTATGTATGTATGTATGTATGTATGTATGTATGTATGCATGCATGTGTACGTGCCCGAGCATGCATGTAGATCTATGTATGTGTTTATGTGTTTGTGTATCTATGTATCGATGTATGTATGTATCTATGTTTGTAACGATTTTTTAAGTTCTATATGTGTCTATGTACGTACGTGCGTACCTACTGCCTGCCTGCCTGTATCTCTGTTTGCTCTTATGTATGCGAGTATAGGTTTGTATGTTTGCTCTTTGTGGTTCTATAAACTTACTGACAGACCACGCACACACAGAGGGTTTGAGGTTCGGGTCTATCGGGGTCTGAGAAATTTCGGGGGTCGCACGTTTACGTTGCACAGTGCCTACAGTGTTTGGGGGCTTTCGGTCGGAGGAAGGCAGGGGCGCACTTGCCGTGAAGCCATTACCTTCAGGGCTTTGGTGTATCGATGTCTGGTTTCAGGGCGTTTAGGCTTCAGAGCTTACCCTTAGCTATACGGGCGAGGGTGTAAGACAGTCCGATAGGAATTGAGAGCACGTGCCTGACACCCCGATTTCTGAATTTAGGCGCAGCTTGCGAAAGGCCCAGCATTTGCCATGCCTGGGCATCCTGAAGCCGTAACCATCAAGGACCCAACCATCTGTGTATGGTGTATGTATATATATATATATATATGTATATACATACTATATACACGGATAATGGTATTGATATGTGCACATACATATACACAGCGTTTTGAGGTTTACAAGTATATACACATGTGTACCTATACATTGGTATTGGGTCTTTGCCTTTTCAGGTCCAGCGACCGAGGACGAACTGGTGGCCGTGAGGGCGACAGTGACCTGCCTCCGGGCCCGTGGCCGTCACGAGATGCTCCGAGGACCAGCGTAGTGGCGCGGGCATTGCACTGCTCTTTAGATTTGCCGTCGGGTGTGTGTGTGTGTGTGTGTGTTAAGATGCACCATTCAAACAGATACTTCGAATGGACTTGCAGAGTTTACTTGGCTGGAAAGCCCGCGGAGGGCTTCTTGTTCCCCAAATTGACACGGCCGTCCACGGAAGCAGGAGTGCGGGCATTCCGAATAAGGGTCCTAGGCTGAGCCCCACGATGCCTGACCGCCGCACCTTAGAAACATTGCATCTTGAATCGTAGCCGTCGTAGCCCTACTGAACGTCCTGCGAAAGGCTTGCATGTAGCTGTGGGCTCTATATGGTCCCGCAACGGTAAAGCCCAACCGAGAAACCCACCCTGCACCCGGAACCCCAAGAATGTGCATTGTAACATTCTCGGTTTGTTCAGGGCGCGCAGCCCTCCGCGGGGCAACAACAGCGGAGCCCGCAGCCCGCGGCGGAGCCCGAGGAGGAGTCCGAGACACTTGGTCATTGGTTCTACAGGAAAAAAGCGGTTTTACAGCTACGAAATAAACACGACTTGTATAAAGATGAAAGGATTAAGGGTTGAGGGTCAGCAGCTGGGCGCGGTGCAGACCGAAACCATGGCCCATGTAGGTGAGTGTCGCCACTTTGGACACGTCAGGAAGTTGCATGGCTTCAAAAGCCACAACACTCACGAGGATCCCGGGTTCGGGGGGCCCATCCCTGTGACGACCCTCACGAGGATTTCGGGTGTGTACCATGAGGGGGGGATGGGGAGGGGGTTACCGACACGCGACACGGCACCATATATACATTGAAACCCGCCTAGGAGTCTCGTAGTCTGCAACGGCTACCGGACCCCACGACGGCTCTCACAAGCTGCGAGGCCGAGTTTTTGTGCATTCAAAGCAGTTCCAGTAAACGATATACGCGAGGCTTGCGCACCCCCAAAACCTAATTCCTTCGAACCTAAAGCCGTAAAATTCTGAACGCGTGAAGCACTTGACACTTGACACCTACATCTCTAAAGCCTGCCAAGGAAGAGGCAGTCCAAGACGAAGTCCCCGTCGAAGTCCTGGGAGAGAGGACTCAGGGTTGTAATTGGGGTAGAGCTCAAAGGTGTTATAGGGTTGGGGGTTTAGGGTTTAAGGCTTGCTGCATCCAGGGTCCCAGTCTGTCTGGCAACTAACCATGGGTTTACGTACGAAATTCTAGAATCAAGAGATCTTAGCGCCCCAGATGGGGTGCAGCGCAAAGTAGTAGAGGATTCTGGACACTCTTCCGACGGGCCTAGAACTGAAGAACTTCCTGGTAAACCACGATGCCTTAAGACCCAACGCGCTGCTTTAAGCTCTCGAATTGCTGCTTGAGCCAGCTGGCCGGTGTATATCGTCGTAAACCCAAGACGGGAGTGCTGACTCATCATTACATGGCTGATGCTGGTTTAGGAAAGACATAGAAATAGGTGTTGTGCTGAAAGTAAATACGGTAGATCCTTCGAACCTACTGCACTGCACACGGCCGAACAGTCCTTTCTGTCGACATTTGGGGTTTACACCGGAAAAAGTAGGGTCGTGGGTAGGGTTTCCGGTTTGGGCTGTGCAACAATGCCAAGGTCTCGTCTTGTTTGTTACCTTTGCCTGCTCTGTTTGTTGTGCTCATGCCTTTCGTCAAGCTGGCCCCTTTTGCTGCTGTGAGCATCTCGCCACAGTGTGCAAAACTTCCGCCAAAAACGTGAAACCTCATTCACTAAACCCTATAGAGCCGTGAACCCTGCAACATCCTAGAACCTGGAACCCTACCGGCAGACCCGAGGCGAGCAGGCTTGTAACAGGATCTGGGCATTACGGGTTACGGGGTATTTGGAGCCTCGTCCTGTTCACAGGCCTGCAAACCCTTGCTAGGATCACCGCGAGGAGCGACGGGGGAGGAGACGAGGCTGGGACACTCGCCTGCAAAGGGATCTTTGTTTTTTGTTTCCTTGGTGTTTGTCAAACTCTTTGTGGTTGTGGTGGCTATTATTCTGGCTCTGCCCCTGAGTTTAGGGTCCACTTTTGGTAATGCTTCTTTGGTTGTGGACGCCGCGCGTGTTAGTTTGGGTAGTTTTTGGAGGCTCCCTGCAGAGTCGAAACCGCAAGCCTCCGCTCTAAGTACTTGTCCCCAGGGCCTCAACCCTCGCTCGATCCGGTTCCTCTGCTGGGCCTAGCCGAGTTGGGCAAGCCCGGCTCGAACTTAGACTTGCCACTGCCCGGCATCCTCGTCACAGACCGCAGTCCTTACTGATTCGACAGGGCAAATCGCCGGCCAAGTAAATTTTCGTTCTTCGGTTGGCAAAATACTTCCAATGTACAGGTCTGTAGCCCTGGATTCGATAGCATGTTGCCTGTCCATACCTCAAATTTAAAGCCGAGTCAGAGCACTTCCCCTGGTTCATTGCATTGCTCTCAGCCAAGCTGCTGTCCCCAGATCGTTGCTTTATCAACTAGTTTGTTGCCTGGTCGTTTAGGTTGATTTTTCCGCTTAGGCAGCTGTTGAGGAAGTTGGCAATCTTGCAATCCTAGCTAGCCGATTGTAGTGGCAACCCTTTCTGCTTGATCTGACTGCTCTGAAGCTGTGGATGCTAATAAATGAACAAATCAATGAGTATGAGTATAATGTGTATATATATACATATATATATATATATATAGATATTTCCAGTCTGTGCGTTGTGTGTGTTTCACCCAGGCTATACTGGGCAATTGGTTGCACACACCGGGCTCACTCACAACGCCAGATCTCAAGATTTGCACATTCAAACACTCAAGATTCACCCAACCTGAAGCGAATGCCGATGAAACGCTAGAGCCTGAAAAGACCACTTGAGACTTAAGCTCCGGTCTGGCCGAAGATGATGATGACATTGCCCTTTTGAGGACTGAGCCTCCTTGCCGATCTGCTCTGAGGGCCCTCGAATAGCATCGCAAAGACGACTGCGCCGAGGAGGTTTTAGAGTTTAGGGTTACGGACCCAACATCGAAACATGAAGGTTGCACTTCATATCTCCTTCGCTTGCCGGGTGTCTTGCTCTGAGAACCACTATACGTTGTGCCTTACGTCCAGGGCATGAATTCGCGCGTACACGGACATGTTTGGCCAACTCCAGGCTATGTGGCTTTTAGCTTGTCATTAACAAAAACACTATGGTTGATATTCGAACGCCAGCTTTAAGCAGTTGGCTTCTGCTCTGATCGTGTCAGTATGGTTGAACTGCCAAATTTGCAACCACTGGTATGGTAGCAGCTACAATGGCAGCAACCTGCGGCAACGATTTCGTCAAATTCCCACAACTAGCACTATACCTCCTCGGCTTGTCGGCATGCATGAAATGCTGCGCAGTGTCAGTCGGATTCATGTGCTCTTGAAGCAGAAGCTGGAACCTTCCATGATCTCGGTTGCATTCACTTGGCTGCTGCAGTCTCCTTCGCTCTAGCTTGCATGCATGCTTGTTTGCATGCATGCCCAGACATGCAATAACCGATGTTGCTCACATCACAGGAGTGCATTACAGCACCTTCGAAATCGACTACTGTACCTGCACCACACTTTCGACTGATGCCATTTCGTTACATCGATGGCATGTTGCCTTCATATGGTTCTGGTACGAACATTGCTAGGGGTTTCGTGAACAACACATGTACAGCCTTACTCTGACCACTGCTACAGAGGTAAGAGCGCAGCATTCTGCTGAGTCGACTGGCCAGAGAAAGAAGTTTCACATCGTAGGGAACATGAGAGGTTGGCGCAGGCATATTACTTTCTACACCTGCAGACAGGCTTACTGTTTTGCTAGGCAAGACTCAACCCTCTATCCATGAATGGTAGAATCAATCCCTTGCTTACCGCCAGAGAGCTGGTCAGGTTTCTGTCATGTCGGGGCGTTATTGCGTGGAGATGCCTGCCGCCAGTCGTATCATTGATGTAAAAATCATACATGCCTTTCGTCATGCAGCCCGACCATGATTACAATTATTGCTATGGACTGCTGTTGCAAGTTGGTATGATTTTATTATGCTCACCGCTTGCGGTGTGTTCGAAGCACCCCTGCCCGTTGACCAAAGTTCAAGCGTCGGGCCCCTCGGCCCTAGGCCCCGTTGTAGCCGTACGGCCTTAGGCCCATAGTCAGACGACGGTCCCGCTCCGCAGTCACTTCCTTATACAGTTGAGCGGTGGGGTCCGCGCGGCAAGACTTCAGCTGAGTGAGTCCACTTCTGGCTTCCCTTGACCGATCTCGTTCCGTTGGTCTTGACACGCCCCTTACTATGCAGCATCATACAGACCTGCGGTGCTTCATGAGCAGATGAACCCGGGAAAACGAACCCTGGAAGCTCTGAGCCCTAGCCGAACCGCCCCAAACTCAAGCACCAAATGAGAAGTTGTAGCAGTCCTTATTCTCAACTTAGGCCTCAGCCAGCCTAAGGCGGCCTAAGCCCTAAACTGTCCGACAGGCCTCGAGTTCCAGGGAGCCGAGAATTCCATGGCTTCCAGGTCAGCGACCCTGGAATTCAGCTTTTGGGGCTGAAGGTCTCGGACTTAGGAAGCCCCGGCTTGGCTTCGGAGCGGATTTGAAGCGGCTCGGCGGTCTTGGAAGCTGCTCTCTGGCTCCTTTGGCACCCGGAGGCAACGTGACGACGACGGCGAGAGCGACGAAGACTCGGAGAAGGCACGCAAGCAAAGAGGGATAGAGTTCGGGTCTAAGCAGTTACGTCGGAGATCATGATCACGTCAACTTGAGGTAACGCTAAAGTTGACAATGAGCAAAGCCGGCGATGCAAGGGCTTCTGCTGCCAGAAGGCAAAAAGCAAGGAGAAGAGCAAGGGCGAGGATGACAAAGGTGAGAGCGGTGAGGACCGCAAATGCGCAGCTGCCCCTCAGTAGTTCAACGAACTTTCGCAGGTTGAGGGACTTGCAGTGCTGTCCTCCCCCGGCTCCGAAACTTAGGCTACTTTAGTTGCTCGGAGTTCTGAGAATGACGCGGTCCCGCAAATACAGTCGGCTTGGCCTTTGACAAAGGCGGGGATGTGCCAGCTCTCTGGGCTTTTAGTGTTGGCGTTCATCTTCCCCTAAACCTTGACCTTAATCACACCCTACCAAACCAGCAAATCCTCAGTACACGCATTGTGGTCCTTGCTCCTTCAGGATCCAAATCCACTTAGGATGCAGCCTGCTAGATCACTCCAGATCCCGACAGAACCTTGTACTCTAACCCTGAACCCTCAGCCTGCACCATGAATCCTTGACTGTTTGCCCGCCTAAATTGAAACCCCATGGACTGAAACACTGAAGCTGTTCAAGCCCAAACCGTAGCCCTGAAGGCTTCGCGGGCTTTTAACAACCGAAACTCCAGAAACTTGAAGGCCTCACTCAGACCTAAGGCGCCCAACCCGATGACCCAGACCTGACCACCTCCATTATAAGCATCCAAACGACGATGTTGAGAGGATTTGAAGCCTGTGACCAGAATATCTAGATTCGGCTTGAACTCTACGTACCGGTATGCTGCCCAAGGGCTTCGCTTCTCTAAAGATTGGGCTTCCTTCTTGCCTGATAGCAAACATGACGGCTAAAGATGCTTGTCTTCAGATACTTGTAGCTGGGCTGGTGATTCATGAAGCCGTATAGATGTATAATCGCGCAGGAGAAGGACGTGGGCGAGGACAAAGGTGAAGACAACCAGGCCCGGGTCTCCAAAGCCAAAGGTTTCGGTTTCCCAGGCTGTAAACGGGTTTCAGGTTGAAGGCTTGATGTTTCGGGTTTGCAGCACCTCCCGACGCAGTAGCCTCCGGTACGTGCTTTTGAAAGGCATTTAGGTTTCGATTGGGCAACCTAGCTTCTTGTCTTTGTTGTACTCAGCACACATGGTGAAACATGGCAAACTCGATAGCAGGTATCGCACGAAGCCCTATGTAAAGCGACGGTAGAGCTCAAAAGGCCTGCATCTCTCCGAACCCTCTAGCCCCAATGCCTAAGATCTGTATGTAGCCCACTCCCCACCCAGCTTCAAGCATTGCTGCAGTCGCAAGGCTCCCAAGGCAGAGTCTCGCAGGGACCTGAAGAGTTTAGCAGTCTCATACACTTCTACCCCCTTTGCCAACAACGGAGACGTCAGATGTGGTGGCAACAGAAGCTATAAAACCTGCACCAGTAAACCCTGCGTCCAAATCAAGGAGTGCCAAAGACCGGTGCTAGACCCTTCAGGGTCCGAGACTGCCAAACCTGAAACCAAACACCCCTGAAGGGCGAGGCTTCAAAATCCGAAGCCGGACGCAACCACGGTTGCTCGACATTGTTCAGAATTATCTGTTGACCCCAGAGACCATCACGCACTAGCAAAGACAATATTTGCAACATGTGGATTGGTAGATGCTAAAACAGTGTAGCAGGGTAGGAGACTTTCATTAGCAAGAGACAGCCCTACTCATGAGAGGAAGACTTATCAGAAGCACCGTCGTCGTCGCCGGTAGTACTGTAGTACGGTACTCCAACGGATTTCTGTTTGGGCCAACCCCAGTTGACGCCGTTTGTCTTTAGGATGTTTTTGTGTCGAGGCAAGATAGCGTTCTGGCTATCTTGAGGGCATCTACAGTTCGGGGGTACTTTGATACAGCCCGCTCCAAGCCTCCAGCTCGGCTTGGAAGCATGCTTGTTGGTAAGTCTTTCATATCCTGATTTGTGGTGGTTCGTGGTCTGGTTCCTTTCTGTCCGACCTCGGTGGTCCCAGGTCAGACAGATATAGATTTGGGATGCGTTGGTTGGAGTGTACCGGCAGGCATTAGATGTGAAGCACAGAGCTACTCGTCGCGGTTCAGTTCAGGGTGGTGCTTGGGCCGATTCCGGGCTGAAGGTTTAGAATTTTGGGTACCGCCTGTAAGTGGCTGCATGGTTGGGACTTGCAAGGATCCCCGGCCCATGTTGTTCGGCCGGTATCGTTGCTGTCCGACCGATTTGACAGCTGTCCATCGTTGTGCCCTCACGGCCCTCGAAGGTCCGAATCCTTCCTGGCTACACCGCAGCAACGCATCATCAAAGCAGCGCTCATGCTTAAGGCACCTAAACCCCACACGGTACTCCTTTACCCATAAGCACAAGAAGAGGCGGCTAATGTTAACAGCCAGCCCCAGCAGCTCGAGATCCCCGTGAGCCGGGGTGTCTTAGGAAAATCCACCCCGCGCCTGAGAGCTTCCCCGAAGTCGAAGAGTTGGTGAGGTGAAGCCAAGTACGTGTACCATACGGCTACTGAAGGCAGGGTATGAGTACGCCGTGCATTTCCGTTGCTTTTGGACTTTGAGTTGAGGGTTCAGGGCTTGTAAGGTTCTCGGATGACCCCTTCATTCAGGAACGGAGCCGAACCGCCGAATTGCGCGCGAGGGCTCTTGCACCTATGCCCGACATGTTTCCATGTTGAGTCATGAACATAGTGCTATGTGTTTCGGAAGCAGCTCCTAAATCTTACCAGGCAGTTCCAATCGCAATGTGACATGATCGACTCATTCCAACAAGATGCAACAACGATACCCGGTTGACCAATTGAGGCATATGTGGTCTAGGTCTAAGTCTAGCTACGGGATCAGACGCGGCCATGAAACGCGACAGAATTGAACTACAACATCCAGGGAATGCAAACCGAGAAAGCGCAACCCTCTCGCAGGCTTCGATGAGTTGGACAAGGTGGTCGAGTCTGCTTGCCCGGCAAGTGTTCTACATAGAAACCCAAACGTTTGAGGTCCATTTGATTCGGGATGAGGGTTCGGGACCTGTTTGCATGAGACATTCAATGTTCGGCACCCCTGACTGCAGACAAACACCTCGCGAACCGTTTCCTGCCATTCCGCTGTTGTGTAAGACGTTCGGCGAATCTCTGCACCAGCCAGATCGACGCGGCAGCAGACGACGCTTCTACCAAAGCGAAAACTGTGGCT